GGGCCTGTAGACCTCTGGCAGCAGACAGGAGAGTTTTAATTTAAAAAGGCAACTCAGAGTCCCCACAACAATCAGCACATGACCATCCTTGATTGTACCTGCAAGCGACATGTGAGTGCCTCGTGCCACGCTCGGTGGGCTGTGGCCTTTCTGCCTTGTGAAGTGGAGCAGTGAGGCCTTGTTTCCAGCTATTTGTCTACAGTGACTTTTGTACACATTTAGCCCAACAGTGCAATTGCTCGGATGCTTGAATTACACAGACATTCCCTACAAATGAGGTCACGCAGGCCCGGCTCAAAAACATTTGACTCCATGGTCCGTCGAGCTGCTTCAGGGCCTGTTGTCCCCTCCATGAGCTCATAACATTGGATGAATCCTGACCATGCAGAGGAACAACAGCTTGTACTAATGCCTCTGTACATTGGCCACAGTCATGGTTCGAAATGACACTCAAATCTGTGTCTGTGTAACATTTATATCTTTCCTGGTAAGAGATAAAAGACTCATATGCAAATGTTCCACACACAGCAGATTTAGAAGAATCTGAGAAATCCCTGATTTTGTACTCTTGAATGTTGAGCAATTGCATGCAGTAGTGTTTGAGTCAGCATTTTTGTACTTTTTTATAACGTTTCTACCTTGTTTTATACAACATAAACACATTTTTTATTTGTACTTTTAGCGCTGAGTAGAACACATTTTCTGAGTTGTCTTTTTTTTCATCATTGCTGATAAACACATGTACAGTAAGCGTATTGAAACAGCGATGCAACGTATCAGAACTTTTGACTTCTATGCCGTATTAAACCAGCCTAATGTGAGTCATTACTGGCCTATTTTTTGTGCACACAACAATAAATTGGGATTTAGACACCAAAACACCCCATTACTTCAACTGACCTGACCGAGATGACCAATATGATATCTGACTATCAATATGTGGACAGAAAATATGTCAGTCAGGGAAAAGCTTTGCACATCATCTTACTCATCCGCCCACAGCCTCTAGCAATATGTGTAAACAATCATTTTGATATAACCATGTGTGTTCAGATATCTGTGTGTGTGCGTGTGTGTGTCAGAAAGACAGAGAGACAAGCCTACTATATGTATTTGTGACAGCCAGTCCTACAGTGACCTGAGTCTGTATGCCAGTTTTATCAACTTATTTTTGCACAAGGTCCTTTCACAGCATGGGACATGATAAAATAATTCTGTTTCAGGGGTCAAATAAAGTTCAGTGTAGATTAAATAAAAGGTTAATATGCAGCTGTTCTTTGATGGTGATCCGAGGAGTGTCTGCAGAATGCAGATTACAAGCTCATCTTCAATCAGAAAGGGTCTTTCACTCAAAGGGGTCTCATGTAAATGTCACGGCATAACTGAAAAGACTGTATGTAACTTTCCACCAATACAGTATGTAGACATATGTTTGTTTCATTCAAAATGAAAGTAAACGATTTAAGTGTATTAAATTGAAATGTCTTTCAGTATTTTTCTTCAAATACAATTACTGACCTGTAAACCATTGTAATTTCTTTACTGACAATGTAAAAACAGCCACTGAGCCACACTTTGCTCTCAGACTTGAATGAGTTTCTTCAAGTCACTTTTTAATCACACAGTGCTCCTCCTCTTCTGTGCCATGCCTTTTATTCTACAGCATAAGATAAAACAATATTTTGTAACACTCTAACTGAAGGTACATTTATTTATTCTAAGTTAGAAAACTGACATTGGGATGATCAGGTTCACACAGTGGAGAGTGGCTGTTTGCAAAAAGCACAGAGGACCTCACTCACTCCCTATGATGGAAAAAAAAAAAAGAGTATGCAGAGCATGGCTAACTAATTCCAGATGTTCATATGTTGCATTATGTCACATGCACGAATGGAGTGAGCTATCTTGGAAAATATTAGACACCATCTAATCCTCAGGAAATGTGGACAGGCTGCAGTAAAGGTGTGCTGGTGCCAAGCGGTCGTGACATAAATTGGGGACACAGGACGGGGTAAAATAATGAGCTGTGACTCTGATTAAAATTTTCTTTTGTCATTTAAAGTTGACAGTAAGCAAGCACATTTTATATTAGGCTGTTTTCAGTGAGTTTTTCATGTCTGACAAGCTCAATGCAAGATGTCTTGACTCTGTTGCCAGCTTTTGTTTCCACTCTGTCTAAACCACTACAGCACAGATGTCTATCATATACATATATAAACATGCATCACACATTAGAACCATTACACAGACGTCTTGCTGTAGTGTTGGCTGGCTGCTGTCTCCTTACGGATCATTTTTTTTGGGAAGAAGTTGGGTGGAGTTCTTCATCACTATGAACCCTAAACCTTCATTTAGAGACTGACTAGTTTATAGAAAGATTCTTCTCCATTGTCAGCGCTAAGTGAGACCAGCTTTGTGTTAAACCAACATTCACTTGTGTCTGGCCAACATAGAGCTTGTGTGGTAGATCAGATTATCAAAAGTCAGCTCATGTGCGTTCTTGTAGGTTGTGCAATGGCATTCTGTATTCAAATAGAAATCAGTTTGCTTATCTATGTATTCAAATTATTGTCTTAATCAAAAATCAACAACCTCAAGACAGAGGTATTATTGCAATCTCATGCTGTCAGTTTCACAGTACAAACAACATTTAATAAATACCAGAATACCATATCAGCTGAAAGCTTAGTTTCATTAATTAAGCTGGTGATGATGATGATGAAGAGTACATTACTTGTAAATAAACAACACCCAATATACTGTACCTCGTATTAAAAGCTGCAGTTCCTTAGAGGCTGTTAGACTGCTGTTCAAAGTAGATTTGATCTCCTTATTGCAAAAGTTTATTTAAGAAGTAGGATGCTGTGATATTTACTTTGGTCAATTATTTCTGTTTTTCTAGATGAATGTATTTTTAGTTGTTTCCAACTTTGTTAAGCTAATATAACATCAGATGTTATAATTTGTGACATGATAAGATGACGATATAATACTGAGATCTCTATAGACCCACACAGGACAATCTATTCATTTCACCAGCATTTTGTATATCCACCGAATATCTTGAATTAAAAGTGTCTTGAGCTAAAAATTAGTTTGCCTTCATGATAAAACTATTTAGAAAGACCTGCCAGTAACACAGGGACAGACTGATACCACAGGTTTACTGGACAAAAAGCGTCTGTCGAAAATAAGGAAGAAACACAACACATTTCTCCTTCTCACAGGCCATTCTGACATATTGGCTCGTTATAGGATGAAAAGCAGTGTAGTTCATAACATTAAAATGTCTGTGAACTGGAGCCATCGTTAGTGTTATTTGTTACACCTATTTTCTCCTCCTGTGACCAGTGAAGTAAAAGTAATAAGTTACACTACTAGTTATATTACTTTTCTGCTACTCTCCACAACATTGGTAATTGTGTCCCTTCTCCCCAAAATTCAGACCAGTTAATCCAGTTTTGTTTGTTGTTGTTGTAATGGAGTATTTCCAGCTGCTTAAGCATTTCCATCTTCCAAACTAGTTTCCGCCACGATTACAAAATGAATCCAAGGTTGTGATGCATTGTTGGATTTCAAATCAGAAGAGGGTGACAACAAAAGTAAGGTTGTAACTAATTATTTTTTGGAGGAGTAACTGTAATATTATTACTGAAATGTATTAGTAACTAGTTACACTACTAGTTACTGGGGAAACTTCACCTGTTCTCCTCTTGGGCCTCTGGATCCAGGAGGTCCTTCTGTGCCCTAAAGAAAGACACCAATACAATATAATCACATACAGCACCTGGCCACAGCAAAAAGTGACCATGGTAATGAAATCAATAAATAAATGATAAACCTACTTGTTCTCCCTTTTTACCAGGGGCACCACATTCACCTTGTTCTCCCTAGAAAATAAGATCAGTACAGATACAGGTAAGTGAAGCTTAAAGAAAACATCTTTCTAATCTAGAATAGGTGACGTCTGAATATATGGAATTTCATAAAATGCACAGAAATTATTTTCATATGTTCATATGTTGGAGAATTTGCTTATCTTTATATTTCCACACCTGGATTTGGCATTCATCGTAAATAATAACTTAATTTAAAAAATGTGTAATATAACATATAATGATAATATATACCTTTTCCCCTTTGCTGCCAGATCGACCCTATAGAGAGGGAAATTTTACATTAAACAGTCAGACTGTCCACCAACCATAATGCTACTGTAATAGAATGTCAATTAACCAACCAACATCAAAATAGCTTATGTGATGGGACTACAGGACATTATATAGACTACTTTTTGTTAATTGTTTTTAAAAATGATTAACCAATATAATTTCCATAGATGGTTTTATTTGGTAAGTAATAGCTGAATGTTAAAAACCCTGTCAACATATGGTTTGTACCTGACAAACTACAATCTAAAAACAAATGTTTTGGCTCAATCTTAACATTTTGCATCAATTTTTTTGAGTTATGGCAACTTCTAATAAAATTATGCTCAACAAATTGAATTAGGGGAATTAGGTTTTTCTCTACAATCAAAGGTATTTTTAATTACCTCTCACTTAATAACTGTAGCATAAACACAAGTTTTTTAAGTTGAAGGCTGTCCAACTAGTTTTTCCAAGTTATTTATGTTAACACAACTCATCAAAATAATGTTTGCAACTTAATAGGTTTATCTATATCAATAACGTACAAGTTTCAGTTTGCAACCATGCATTTGTTGAAGTGGTAACCGTAGGTCCACTAATTTACTTTTTAGTGTGTAGCATGATGCGTTACCTTGGATTGTCACGTGATAAATCCTAACTGTGCTTTTATTCTGACAGTTAGTGGAACAGAGTTATTAATGAAAATGCATCTAGAGTCATGTAATGGGTTGTATTTACCTATAAAGTTAGTTAACATTCCCGGAAATACACTTATTCTTCTAGAGAGTTAGATCCTCTCTGGTCTCTGTGTGTTAATAAGGTTCCAGGTTTCAATATTAAAAATGGAGCTAGTGTAGCTCTGTCCAAAGTAAGCTAGCTGGCCAAAGTTAGCTAACTGTCCAAAGTTAGCTAGTTAGCCAAACTAGTAAAAACAGCTGGGCGCAAGGACTTTTTACAGTCTTCACAGTGAGGTTGCCTAGAGTCACATTGTGCAACATTGTTTTAATGGTAAAAGGGTCCATTTAATCTACTTGAAGCTCTCTCCATGCATCTCAAAATAGAATAAAACAATACACTGCACTTTACTCAGATTTACATGACAGCTTGAAAACTTGTAACCCAGGCAAGAGATGGTTGAAAAAAATATCAGATGATTACCTCAAGGCCCTCCATTCCTGGACGTCCATTAATGCCAGGTTCCCCCTACAGTGGCCGAGCCCAGACAAAACAGGACATCAAACGACACTTCATGAATTCTTTCTGTTACCAGCGCTGGATTATGGAGACAATAGACACTTACACGAGATCCCTTTGGACCTGGAGCTCCATCAGACCCTGGCTCGCCTGGTTTCCCCTAGATCAAAGTAAAGGGAGAGATTGTGATGAATGAGAATATTTGGGCCCCTTTTTAGGTTGGATTCTGTGTTATGTATAAGCGTACATGCATGAGGTAGGTCATTCTCAGTGTGCCTGTGTGTTTACTCTTGTTTAATCTTTCATCCATGACCTTTGCTTCTCTTTAGCAGCGTTACCAGTGAAAACAGCCCTTTCAGCTGGCCCTCTCACCACCTGCTACACTTGCATTGTGGGAAACATTTGCTGCTCTTCATCTTTTCCCTGTAGTGCTTTGGATGCAGGCCAGGCGCACCTGCTGGTGGAGGCCACCAGCCTGGGTGCTGAGGCTGGGAGAATCCCCAGCTATTCAGGGATAACAAGCCTTAGTGTGAGGCTTACTGAGCTCTGTGAGGCTGAGGAAGAAACTGTCAACATAAAGCCAGCAGACACGTTCACAGCTGGGCAGTAAAGCTGGTACAGAAGTATCACATTACCCAAATGTCTGAAATACTTTGGTCAGAAAGAGTAGAAAAGTTGACTTTCTCTGGATGAATAGATCAGCAAGTCAGCTAGCATGGCATGGCCCAAGGATGGTCTGTCCTCTACTTTGATGTACAGCAACTACTAGCAAGAGCTTTAATGACATTTAGTACATGGGCAATATTTCCTTAATCTATATCAACACAATTTGACCAAATATTCCAAACTCAAGGTCCACTTGCTAGCTTTTTCAACCGCATTACACGATATGGTTGATTTTGAGCATAGCCACTTGTAAAAGAGCTACTAAGCTCACATATTAACTGATCCATCTCCATCCAAGATAGTTGGTAAACCTTGCATTTAAGATTGTTTGTCGGTGCCCGGTTAGCTCAGTCGGTAGAGCTGGCGACCCATATACAGAGTTGCTGCAGCGGCCCGGGTTCAAATCCGACCTGTGGCCCTTTGCTGCATGTCATCCCCTCTCTCTACCCCCCTTTCCTGTCTATCTTCTGCTG